AGACGGGGACCGGCTCTCCAAAAACTGCGTTGTTCCGTATATGACAGCCTTATTTAGGAAACAGGCTGACACAGTGTGATGTTAGGCGCTAACGCATATGCTCATGCGATAACCACCGGATGGCCGCATAGACTTTCTGTATACGAGACTTTCGCTGTATAGAGAAGAAGCGATCGCAAATTATAGACGAATGCTGTCGAAGGACTATGTGTGTATAATGCATATTGAAATAGTAATAGTAGAAGGTACCAATAACTCGAGTCTAATTAGGATCAATATTAGTCGCTAGATTGTATCACGGCGAATAGGTGCGATTTTCGACTTTATTACTAGCGGCATTTATTATACTTATATATTACGGCTGCTATACAAATATTTCTGTCAAACTTGCTGCAGCGCGAGATAGCAGTGGTCTTTGCGCGGAGTCAGTGGTCTACGCGTATAAGATTCTCGCACTATTTGCTTCTGTATAGTATAATAGATATAGTAATAGTATAATAGTTATAACTACAACCGAGTATGCATGGCGACAATTGCTTCCATAGGTATTCTATTGGACGGGCAGCGCATTAGGCTCATGCGGTTACCGAGAGAAATCGAAATATGTGATAATATTATGATTTTTGCCTCATGCACACGGTGGCTGGGCGGATATACACCGCCGCCTGGACGCGAAACTTTTTTGTGATTCACTTACAGCGGTAGTTTTAAGTAATCCATTGGATGTCAGGGTTAGTGGGTTAAGGAAAGGTAGGCGTAGGTTGACCTCCTCTTAGAACCTCGTTAGCTGGCATTTAGTAGGCGCAGGTACTGGGTCCGGGGATAATTTAGGCATAGTACATAAGTACGTTCCCGGAAGCCCGGATATTGACCAACACATAGCATAGCTGATTTGAATATCTTTAGATACCACCTCAGACCGAAGTCATCATATAAAGACCCGATCAGGTGATGAGCAGTTAGGGTCTATAGCGGTTAGGGCTTGGGCAGCTCTATTTGCATCATTTTCACTATACAGAAAGTCTGATGGCCAGGTTTACACCTGTTGATATGGGATATCAAGTCCAATGCGATATAACGCTGTCGGAAAAAGGAGAAAAACGTGATGCACTCTAGTGGTTTACAGCCGCCTTCGTTGCTGAGATTAGCACTTTGCCGCATATAAACAACCAAACACGGTGGTATCCGCCTTCAAGAAAATTATATCGTTTCGCTCAGTGCAGAACGGCGACAGAAAGTCGTGGAGTGCCCAAATTACCCGTTAGATGAAACATGTTCCTTATTATTCTTAGTCTGGCATTAGTAGTCGGAAATTCGCACATGAGCAGCCACAATAGCTGACAAATGGGTATAAACAAGTGTTAATCTGTCATACTATACTTATAGGTCGTCTATGCACACCCGAGCTGTAAAAACATCCAAGGGAGAAAATCGCAGTAGGCGGCAGCCGCCCGGGCTCCACGTTGTTAGAGTGACTAAACAACGTAGAGAAACTCCGTTCGGAGAAAAGTTTCATGCACTTAGTCATGTGTCTATGTAACACTTAGAATGTGTCGACGGTTCCCGTCCGACGGGGCCCAATTTCCCTGAGTATTTAAGTACTCCTGGATACATTGTAAAATAAAAGTCGAGAACCGCTAATGCCAATCCAATGATAAAAGAGAATCCGATCATCTCAATCGGTTAAGACATCTTTACTATTACAATAGAACTATAGTAAAGGAACGCGGGGAGAATAAGGAGAACCGAGATGGGTCCCGAAGAGGGCGGGCATCGAGCTGTGCAATAACGTCTTGTGCTCACACGTAGTAGCCCACCAAGCAAATATATAATTTCCCAATTACTGAAACGTAAATGTGCTATATAGAAGATAGATAACAATTAAGCTAATTATATAATGGACCACGCGAAGTATTATTATATAATTTATTTATTAGGTGTTTAAATGTATGAGATTATAAAGAGAATGCCCCCGCGTCTGGTATGCCAATGAAAACGGCGGCATTTGTACACTTAAATCCGTTCATTAATTCCATAAACATTTTGGGTAGATGATTTTTTTTCCACACACGCCACGTGGGCACTTCGGAAAAGCGAACGCAGCCCGTACTACTTGCATAACATCCGAATGCGCATTGAAAAAAAAGTCGGCACTTTTCTTGAGAGTCTTTGTTTTTAGCTTTTTTTCTTCTACAAAGCGAGGATTGTAATTCAGGGAATAAAAATTACAATTAGGTCGCACGTACTTACTCGACTAAGCGAAATAAAAATAGAAAACATCGGTTAGTGCATGCGCTTTAGATATGTTTATGTATCCCTAGTTCCAGCTGGATTGAGGTTATTTGCGTACTCGCTACCGGCACATTATGGTATAGAATACACGCACGCGTGTACGCGCACGTAGTGTGTAGAAATCTATCGCACACGTTTTTACCAGGCAGTAACATTCGGTAGCCTTTTGGCGAAAAACCAACATTCGATATTTATTTTGGTTGTGATTATCTGATACACTGCAACGATCAAAGCCACGCGTGTTATAACGCGAGTCTGCATGGCGTTGGCTTTCCAGTTGGCGTAATAGGTTCTTGGTCGTGTTTTGTCTTTGATCTGACGCCAATTCGTTCAGCAGATGCTCGCTTGTATTTTAAAGTGAGTTCAAATTAGAGCCCTGTGATCAGTCCGTTTCTTTGGCGGAATATTTTTATATAACGGGAGAGTTTAAGTCAGTACACTGGAGCTTGTTATCCATGCGTTAGTCTTGCTCTGGTCAATCGAAAACAAAGACGACATCTCTCCGTAGTTGAAATCGAAATCGTGAGTAGCTCTTTCGAGTATATGAAACTGTATAAATATATTTTTTAATTTAATTATATTATTAATTTATAGTGTATATACAATATATAAATTATGTGCGAGCAGTTCCAACATATAAAAGTCGGATAGAATTTACTAGTATAAGGATAGCAGATGAACACGATACACAATGGCTCACATTTCCTCCAAAACACAAGCTCTCAACTCGATGCACGCACTTCCCAACCTATCTACTGCCGCTCTCTTCTACCCCTTACTCTCTTCTTTATATGCCTCTCCATTCTCCTCCTCTCTCAGCTTTTTACCCGTTCTTCTCTCTCTCTCTCTCTCTCTCTCTCTTTTTTTATTTCTCTCTCTCTCTCTCGCTCTCTCTCTCTCTTCTCCTCTATCACTCCTCGACTTCTCCTTATCAGGCGCCCTTTCGCACGATATCATAATTTGATCTTACTTTCATCATGCGACATCAAAGTGCCGATGATTCAAAATAGAACGTGATCATAGACGAAGACGCTGGGGTCAGTCTAACAACGGCAGCTGTGTAAAGCTAATAGACTTGCGAAGCTAAACCCGTTACGAAAACCAAAGAAAACTAAATTGTGGAGTCCCGCGTTTAACGAAGAGTTAGAAAGAGATAAAGGATATGGCACGTGCGCACGTGACTTTACGGCTGTTCTTTTGTGTTGTAACGCTACATGCGCATGCAAGTTATATTAGTATACTAGACGCGTACACTACACACTATGCTCACATCTAAATACATATACGCTAATACAGACGGATATAACTTGAACGTGAAGATTAACTACGCGTGCTCGCGGTTAGCTGTTCTGGTGCATATAATCTAATGTATACACTGACCCACCCCAACACCACCACCACCTATGTTTATATATTCATATTCTACTTCAGTATAATACGGGGTTGTTTATACTCTCACCGCCTTCCAATCGGCTCTCATTCTCTCACTCTAAGCTTTCTCCGTTATTATATATATATATATATCCTCGACATGAACACGCGAACGGACACACGCGCGCGTGAAGGAGAAACTTAACGGTTACGATGTCATACTTTGACACCTGTGCTTGTGCGCGCGGCAGCCTCTGAACGGTTACTTGCTAAAGTCGCCGCAAGATGGCACGCGCGAGCAAGAGACGGAGCAAATGCTAGCGTATAGTTAATCAAGCATGCGGACGCGCATATTTATTTACTTGTTACTCGTTTATGTTACGAATCAGCAATCGTGCTTATTAATTAAACTGCGATTGTAAGTAATTGATACGTGCGTAGGATGAGATATATATATATATATATATATATTACAAGCAGCGATGATCTATTGACTACATGAGGTCGTAGGAAACAGGCACGGACAGAAATGGACGATGTCGGACTGCGACGGAATGGAACGCGCATGCGTCTGTGGCAGATGTTACATAGCAGATTATTGAATGTAATCGGTAGTACAGTCACGTTACATGCGCGCGCATGACACATGACGTGCGTGCGTGCGTGCGCGTGAACGCATATCTCCCTTATATGTAGCCTGTCGCAACATGTTACAGCGTGTCCTATAGAATGCCTAATAGCATGTTAAGACACAAACCCTAACGGTACTATACACAATACATACGTGTATAAAGCTTATATAGCGTATAATGACTTATAGCTGACATTAGAAGCACTAATGGGCAAGTTAAGGGCATATATAAAGGCCATCAAACTATGAAATATGTACGTACATCACAGCTACACATTCTTCGCTCTAAACACATGCACACACATACACACACACGCACACACACACACACACACACACACACACACACACACACACACACACACACACACACACACACACACACACACACACACACGAC